CAGACAAGAACCGGGTCAGAGCTCCACAGAACCACTGACACCAGGACCGGTTCTGGTTGTCGAGGAAACGTCCGTCAAACACAAGAATGAGCTCAGAACCCGAGAACGTCGGTTCTCCTCAGAACCTGGTTGATCTGAGGAGAACCGACGCCAGAGGAGGTTCTCCCCGGGTTCTGGTGGGTCGTCGGCGTGCGTGACGGAGGTCCAACAGAACCGCCAGATGACAGACAGGTGAGTGGGCGGACCGACCCAGACGGGCGGTGAGACGAGTCCACCTACCGAGGAACGCTCCGAAGGAGACCCGGCCCAGTCCTGGAGCGTTCAGAAACAGAACCAGGAGAAGAAGAAAGAGTGAACAGAACCAAACAGAACATGAGCCCAGGGCCCGTCCTACACGGGTCAGAACCTTTCATCGGCTGCTGAGGAACCGGAGACCCACCGAAGTACTCGTTGAGGAAGGCGAGCGAGGCCAGGTAGCAGCCCAGACTGAAGAACTCGGCCAGAACCATGAGCCAGTGCCAGGTCCGGACCGTCAGCGCCACCATCAGCAGCTCGGTCAGAACCAGCGCCGTGAAGGAGATGGCCACCACGTGCACGAACTCGGACTCAAACAGAACCAGGCCGCCGTACATCAGGATGCCACCTGGGGGCGCCGGAGAACAGAACACATGAGCAACGAACAGAACCTTTACCTGCTGGTTCAGAGCCGAGCTGAACGACAGCCGAAGCTGAGCTGTTGGGCAAACAAGACAACCAGAAGCTAAAACAACAGGTTAGCTAAAGCAATGCTAAAAGCCAAACATAGCATCAGACAAAAACAGAATCAGATCTTTGAGTTTTATTTTACTGACATTAAAAAGTCACAGCAGCGTCTCCAGAATCAGCCGAACCTTTTGATTCACGAGCAGCTAAAACAGCTAAAGATAATCAAAAGTGCTCAGAATAAAGGAGAAAAGCTAAACGTTAGACGATTTGTTCTCAGGCAGAATAAAAATAAAGTCTTTATTTTCAACGGAGGTTTCAGGCGGTCCATCAGAACCGTCAGAGTCCAAACGGGTCGACCGGCTTTTTAAAGAACCGCAGCCGAACGGACTTAACACTAAAGAACTCAACGTCGTTCTTACCTGAACAAACTTCAGCTTTTATCAGCTTAAATTTAGTTTTAAACTTCTGTAGAAATATTCCAGATTATTTCTGAGCTTAAATAATTCCTGTTCTTTAAAATCACTAAAACTTCAGCTTTTATTTTGGTGACTTGGCTGTTCTCTACAAAATAAAAGTGAATTTATGTGATCATCTGAGATTATTCATTTGATGAGTTTCAGATTATAATCTGAGTGAATTCAGGATTAACAGTCCTGCAAACAGGAGCTGCTTCTGTTCTGGTTCCTCTCAGTGCCTGCCAGACCCAGACGGACCCAGACGGACCGGGCTTTCATCAGAACTCTCCACAGATTGTGCTCAATGAGCTCCAGCTGATCAGTCGTGTTTTCATCCAGAACATTCCTGCGACTCAGAGCCCGGTGTCTCCTCGTATCGTTTTCTCTGAACCGAGCCGCTTCGGACCTTTAATTAAAAAAGCCCGAAGTCGTCAGGAAGTCGCGCTCCGGCAGGAACACGGGTCTTTGTCGCGCGCCGCACAGATTAACGGTCACACAAAGATCCGTTTACCAAAAGCTGCCGAGAGCCGCCGGCTGGAAACACAAGAGTCTGAGGAACACACTGTCAGGGTCCAGGTTCTGAGACCCGGGACCCGAGGTCCAGGTTCTGAGACCCGGGACCCGAGGTCCAGGTTCTGAGACCCGGGACCCGAGGTCCAGGTTCTGAGACCCGGGACCTGAGGTCCAGGTTCTGAGGTCCAGGGCCTGAGACCCGGGACCTGAGGTCCAGGTTCTGAGACCCGGGACCTGAGGTCCAGGTTCTGAGACCCGGGACCTGGGGTCCAGGGCCTCAGACCCGGGACCTCAGGTCCAGGGCCTGCCCCCCGTCGATGAGATGAACTCCTCTGAGACCCACAAACCCAAACCGAGCATTTTATCAGAAGTTTCCTGTTAATAAAAACTGGTTCCGTACCTTGGTACACGCTGATCAGAACCCAGATCAGGAACGTCTTGAAAGACAACGAGCGACCCTGAAAGAGAATCATCACGAGTCAGAACCAGCTCCCAGAACCACGGGTCCACATGAGAATAGAGCAGAACCTTGGTCAGGTCTTTGTAGAGCTCCGGGTACAGCAGCGCCATCTCCGGCTTCACGTCTTGGTCCAGAACCAAAGAGAAGACAGGAAACATGGTGTAGATGGTGGCGTAGCTGCAGGGACACAGAACCAGTCAGACACCTGCCGACCCGTCTTCCTGCAGAGCAGAACTTTGACTCTGAGATCAGAACCTGTCCAAGCTCAGCAGCTTGTCCAGTAAAGAAATCTATCAGTTTATTAAAAACCCAGAACTCAACAGAAAAGCATTATTTTTATAAAGTGGGGTTCTGATGGGCTCATGTGGGCGGTCAGTATCTTACCTGCAGCAGACGGCAGTCAGAGCGAGCTCAGGTTGGACAACCAGAAAGAACTCCTCATGAATTAAAAGTAACCAGAACCATTCAACCATGCGTGTCAAACTCAAGGCCCGTGGGCCAGAAATGACCCACGCAACTATTTTTCTGGCCACAAGGTAATTTACAAAAATCTATAAGAAGCGGCCCGCCAACCCCCGACATGTCTCATAAAACTCATTTTAAAATGATTTTTTTGTATTTATCAACGTTCAAAAGTTATTTAATAATTTGAAATAAAGTATAAACAGTTGCTAAATCAATAATTTGACATTTTACACCTGGAAACTACGGTCAGTTTATAGATTTATTTTAAATATCGACTCGGACCATGGATTTAATTTTGCCCCCCCATGTAAAGAAGTTCGATGAATTCTCAGCAGATATTTTACCCCTCCTCAGTTTTACACGTGTCCGCTGCTGGTTATTCATTTTACTTCTTAACGAAGTGTTTTCTTCTCTACACAACGTTTACGTTGCTCGTAGCAATAATCATAAAAACTGCCGTCACGCTCGTTTCCTCTGGAACACAACCAGAAACAGAAGACTCCAGTTTTAACACAGATTAAGGTTTTAATCTCAGTGAAAGTACCTGCTGCTCCCGTTGGTACGACCGCTCACAGGTCCAGAGCCAGAAATCCTGTCTTAACGAGCTCATAACGAGCTCTGTCGAACCTCTGAGCAGCTCCTCATCGTCAGGATTAGTTAAACTCTTGAACCCGGGCCAAGACGGATCTGAACACACGGTTCAGTTGAAGAAGATTACAAAATAAAACGTCTTTTTCTTGAGACTTTCTCTGATTCTCCAAACTGGGATCACCATCTGCTGCATGTAAGATACTGACTGATCACACTGACTCCACAGAATCCCACAAAGTATCCCGGAACCAGGCTCTGGAGGAAACTGGAGCCCGTCTGGAGACGTTATCGGATCAGGACTTTGTAAGAGGTTCCGTTCTGATCTGAACTGAGCAGTAACACATTTTTAGTCTCCCACAGTGAATAAAATCTGGTTTTTCCTGCAGGAGTCCACGTACCCGACCATGAGGTATCCCTGGTACAGAGGCACGGAGGCGAAGTAGAAGATGGAGGAGAACACCGCCTGCAGTTTGGATCAAGAACAGCTGTTTAAACCCACCGTCAGCCTGTCGGAGCGTGAGGGAGGCTGCGTGCTCGGCACCTGCATGGTGGAGATGATCATCCCTCGGTGCATCACGAACTGGCCCAGCGCCGCCGAGCGCTTGTAGCTGTTCCTACCGTGGACCACCAGCAGCCGGCCGATGTGTCTGAACTGAGTGATGGAGAAGTCTGCAGCCAGAGACGCCTGCTTCCCTTCCTGGTGTCAACCAAAACCAGCTGTCAGGTCAGCGGTCCACGAGGCGTTCAGGGATGGATCATCTGACAACAGGAAGTAACACTCACCTTCCCTTCGATCCCGATCCCACAGTCTGCAGCCTGGATCATGCTGACGTCGTTCCCTCCGTCACCTGACACCGGCAGACACACAAAGATCAAAAAGGAGTTTTCTAAAGAAACTGTCTGGCTGTGACCGCCATCTTGTGGCTGCAGGAGGAACCTCATCAGTTTAATCAGCCGAACCTTCAGCTGCGAAGCAGGTTAAAGCTGTTTGTTTGATCCTTTAAAGTTTTATTTAAACCTCGGCTGATGTTCCTTTCAAAGATGGAGGATGAAGAGTCTCTCAGGTCTGAGGGTTTAAAGATGGAGGATGAAGAGTCTCTCAGGTCTGAGGGTTTAAAGATGGAGGATGAAGAGTCTCTCAGGTGTCTGAGGGTTTACAGATGGAGGATGAAGAGTCTCTCAGGTCTGAGGGTTTAAAGATGGAGGATGAAGAGTCTC